AAGTAATTTCTAAAAAACTTTAGCGACTATATCGTCTTTAAATTAGATTTCGAGTACTCTATAGATTATTAATATAGGTCTATTAAGATACTAGATAATAAATTTAAATAGAATTATTAAGCGATATCTTATAATCTCTATTTATTAATTAAGTATAACGCTTATATTAATATTAAAATCTATAAATATATTTTTAAATATATTTATAAGAATAGTAATTAGACTAATTTTTAAATAGAGCGCGAAGATAATATAGATTAAAATAATATAGATTTAAAAGTATTAAAACGCATAATAAATAGACTCTATAAAAGTTTATTAAAAGATTTTTAGCTTTAAATTACATAATTATAATTCTTTTATTAAACGATTATTTATTTATCTCTCGAATTAATATAATATAATATTTAATAATAATAATAATTTATTCTATATAGTCGATATAGAATATAAATACTAGATTAAGCTAATAGCTTTTTTTTAACTAAATTAATAATATTAATAGCGAAGATAAATAGAAGATTTCTTTTATATTAATCTATCGATATAATATATCTAGAAAAAAAAATAAGATATATTTAAATAAAGTCTACGTTAGAGGCGTAGAGATATTATTAAAAAAAAAATTATATTAATCTAAACGCTAGAAAGCTCTTCTATCTATAATACCTCCTTTTAAATATATTAAACTCTATATTCTTCGAAGACTTATATACGATAAATAATAATATTCTTTTTTATTATTATAATATTTATATAGTAAGAGACTTATTTTATAATAACGTTAAATAAGATTAAATATTAGATAAAATAGCGGCCTAGTAGAGAGAATACTACTTACGAGGTCTTTTTATAATAATTCTATTATAATATAAGCCTAATAACCCTCTAGATTTATAAAATAATTATAAATTAAGATATATAAGTAATTTCTTCTTTATTAAATAGAAATACTTTAAGTATAATATAAATAGCTTATCGCGCTAACGATAATATTAAAATATTATAACTTTTCTTAATATAATATTTCTCTTTTTATACACCAAATTTTTTCGTGCTAGATATATTTTTTCTTAATAATTTTTTTAATAAATTAAAGTACTTTAAGCTATAGATTAAGAAGATTTTTATATTAACGATAATATTAAAATATCGCGACTTTTTTTAATATAATATTCTTTTTTTAGTCACTAAAACTTTTCACGCTAGACGTATTTTTTCTTTTTTTACCCACAAATAATTTAATTCTTTTTTTATACTTTATATATATTTCTTAACTAATATATATTATTCTTTATTTAAATTATCTAATAACTTTATTTATATTCTTTAGACTTAATATTATATTCTTTCTCTATTAAATAATATATAATATAAATAAATTATTGTCGAAGACTTCTATCTTTATTTAATTTAAATTCACTTAAAAAAATTAGCTCTATAAAGAATATTAATCTTACTATTAACTTTAATCTACTCGTAATCTAATAAAACTATAAATAATATTATATTAATAATCGAAATTAACTTCTATACGAAAAATATAACTATCGAATTAATATCTAAAAGTAAATATAGATAAGTTTTAATAATAATTAAATCGCTATAGTCGATATTATTTAAAACGCGATCTCTTATTTTAATAATTAACTCTTCTTTCTCGATAACTATAGAAATATTAATAAAATTATACTTTAGAATATTATATTATAAAGAGTATAATATAACTTTAAAATAGCTATTACTATAGCTTTATCTAATATTATCTTTATTTTTCTTTAAAATAATATTATTACTTATTCTCGCTTTAAGATTTTCTTTAATACTATTATTTAGTTTAATTATAATATATTAATAAAGTTTAATTTAACTTAATTATTAAAGATAATTAAGCTTATTTTCTAAGATAAGATCTCTATATAAAACTACTACGATATTAAAACTATCGATTATATATTTTAAGATATTCAAAAAAACTCTACTTCTTTTAATAATATAGTTATATATTTCTATAATAACTTTTATTAAATTCTTCTAATTATTAAAAATATTAAATTAAATTATATCGCTTAAGCTACGTTAAGAGTATTTTATCTTTAAAATTATATTTAATTTCTTAAATTAATAGAAAATATAAGATTTTAAAATTCTAATCTAACTAATTAAGATTAAACTAATATAAAAAAATTCGCTTAAAAATTATTAGATATAAATAATAATATCTTAATAAGCTTTAAAGAATAAGAAGTAATTAATTAATCTACTAGCTAATTATTAAATAACTTTATTATTTAACTAATTAATATTATTTATAATAATTTTAATCTATATTAAATAGCTAATTTCTATATATCTAAAATAATTCTTTATACTCTTAATAAGAATATTATTTAATTTAATAATTAAATTTTTAATAAGTTTTTTAGAGCTAAGATTATTTATAATAGTAGAAATTAAGTTATTAATAAGAAAGATAGCTTTCTTATATCTACTAAAATAATAAATATCTTTAAATTAATCTTACTTTTATTCTATTATTTAAAATTAAAATAGAATCATATAATAATATTATTAAGAAATTTAAAGTAGTATATAAATTTATATAATAAGATATATCTATAAATTAAATATATTAGATCTAAAATATTCGATTATTATATTCTTAAAAGCGAATATAATAATAAATAATATTATATATTATATATTTCTCTAACTTCATCTAATTCGAATAATCTATATACTCTCTTTTAATATATTTAATTTTTAATCTAATTAGCCTTTAATATAATAATTAATAAATTATAAAATTAATTATTATATTACGTCGATCTATATTTATATTCTAAGATTTTTATTTATAACTAACTATATATAGCTCTAAATCGAGTTATTAATAAAATTAGCTTATTAATTATAATTTTAAATAATCTATTAAAAAAATAACTTACTCGACTAATAAGATATATTAAAAATAAGATTATTAAGTAAATACTTTTTTTTTAGATAAGAATATAATTAGTTAGCGATTTATAGTAATAGAAGTAAATTAAATATCGTATAGAAAGTAAATAAAGTTCGATTTAACTTAGAGTTAGAGCTTTTATCTTCTTTATTAATTTTATAATAATAAAAGTAAATTAAAAATATATAGTAAGCGATTAGAATTTAATTTAACTTAGAACTAAAATTAAAATTCGATTTAACTTAGAAAAATCCAACTTTATAAATTTAATTCATAGGCCTTTACTTATAGTTATATTAAAAAGAAAGCAATACTAAGTTATATAAAATAAGTCTCTATATAATATATTTTTTAGAGTATATATATTTAATTATAGATAAAGTAAAATAATTTAATAATAATAGTAATATCTTAAGATTTAATTTCACTTAATCCTATAATATAGTAGACGTCTCTACGAGCCACGTCTATACTATACGTTTATATAAAGTCTATATTAATACCTAATAATATAACGCTCTGAGTCGAACCTTTAATATACTCGCTATTATCGAGTATCTTTTAACACCGTTTAAATCGATTCTTTTAATAGATCTATCGATATTACAATAAACTTATACGCTATAAGACTTGCCTTATTTACGTTATAGTCACACATATATTTAAGTACCTCTACCGTAGCCCGTACTAGCTTCCATCGAGAATTCAATCTTACTTTTTCATTCTCGAATCTAACGATATTCTTACTATATAATCTTAATTCTTATAACTAGAATAGTAACGATACTCTATTCGATTTTCACGCTACTCGATTATCGGAGTATCTATTTATATATATAACACAGCAGAAGAAGAAGCATCGGAATCAGAAGACTCGCCAGCAATATAAGAGGTCTCTATAAGCCGTCCAGTCAGCCACTTAGCCAGCTCACCAAGTATTATTAACCCCACCCACTCAGTTAAAGCAAGAGGAGGAAACACTACAGCAGGCAAATGCGGAGAACACTGCGGAGAAATCAAGCGGCAACAAGGCCACCATCATCAAGAACACGGCTCAACTCTCCATAATCCCACGTCAGGTCGCCACTCAGCAGGAGAACGACACTACAATTTGGCCTGCTGTCTCCACATGCCTGGGCAATATCACATTGTGGTACATCACTGCAATGACGTCACAAGAGGAGGATCTACTGCGACGATCACAGCCAATTGGGCCTCTGCAGGAGGAACATCGGACGATACATATTTGGACGAATTGAAACCGTCCGATATCCTACTCCGACAGTCATTTCATTATTCAAAAGTTTTCATTTCGGCAGGAGATTTCGCGGGATGCACACCACTAATTAGCCTGGCATCTCCATTCATTTCCGGCATTCGAAGAATCATGCATGCATACTTCTTGCCATAAGGACATGGCATTTCTCTGTTTTTTGTGGGCAATTGTCATGAGATGCCTCAGGGATACTCATAGGGCCACTAGCGTAGGCTTGGCACCGCACATATCTACCCTACAGACCACATAGATTAATTAACATCTTTTACAACTATATACATATATAAGTCAAACCATAATGATTCCTTAACAAATAAGCTATAATAATTTCTAGTCTATATAAACTCTTACTATTCTAATAGATAGGCTATAATATTTATCTTTAACTTTAGATAGCTCTATTATTAATTTCCTCGTAATTTATTAATTCTTTTTTATAGCTTTAGACTTATATAATTATTAGGCGATTTTTCTATATAAGTACTTCTAGCTTTTTATATACTAGATAATATTAGCTAGAAGTTAAGTAATAATTATATAAACTTACTATTCTTATTATTAAGATCTAGTTTTTTTATTAATATTTTAATAATATTAATATAATACTTTATAAATATTTCAATATTAATAAATATAATAATAGTATTTATAATATTATTATAGATTATTTAGTAGTAAGCTCGAACTATTTATTTTACGTTAGTTGTATTAGTAAGGTAGATAGATACTTATAGCTAGAATTCGAACTTTTTATTTAATGAGATGCCGCAGGAGGGCGTTGAGGGAGTAGCTTGGAGCGCAGCGATGAGGAGTCAGCTGGAGCGCATAGTCGCCGGGCTGGACGAGAAGCTCGCAGACTGTCTTCCTGCGTACATGGTGCCGTCAGCATACATCCCAGTGAGGCAGATGCCAATGACGGTGTCCGCAAAGACAGACCGGAAGCGGCTGCGTGAGATAGGATCATCGCTATCAGTTGAGCAGCTGGCGGCGTTTGAGGCGACAGGCGATGAGAAGCGAGCACCGTCGACAGAGATGGAGCGGAGGCTGCAGACGCTGTGGGCAACAACGTTAAGCCTGGACACCGAGAAGATAGGGGCAGGCGACAGCTTCTTCCGCATGGGCGGCGACTCCGTCAGCGCGATGAAGCTGGTTGGAGCGGCCCGGCTGGAAGGCGTGTCGTTGACAGTGACCGATGTGTTCCGGAAGCCACGACTGTCGGATATGGCGGTGGAAGCAACATCTATGGCTGGTGGTGAGAGTGAGCTAGCTGAGCTTGCATCCTTCTCGCTGTTGGATGATCGTCTCAGTGTTCTGCATACGAGCATTCGCTCTCGTAAAGATCCTACTACAGCGCAGACACACTAATTTTCTTTGGTTTTGCACTTTCTACTTGATGATTGCCTTTATAAATGTTAATAGGCATTGGTTAGGTAAGGCATCCTATCGTTTTTCACCACACTTGACAAGGCATGTGGATCTTGACCAGACGGTGCTTTGAGGTATGGGCAATTGGTTTGGGATACGAAATATGATGACTGGCGGCCTCTTTCTGTGCAACTCGGGCGAGCATCTTTCCAAGCGATGAGCGCTGGGTCAAACGATTAGCTATTTTTCTTTACGTATTTGTTCCGATTCGATCAGAAGCTCGTTATTCTTGGAGAAAGACACCGGACTACCCATTCATGAAAAATCTGAGGATTTAGGCGATTTATCTGTCAATTTAGTAGTTGCAAATTTCATGAATTTCATACGCTGCAGACTTTTAGTTCATACATCAAACGCTGCGTCACCTTTTTATAAGAAGAGTGTACCATAATTCATTCGCTCAATCTTCTAACCACCTGACCACAATTGGTTGTTTTATAGAGTCGATATTTTCTCAGTGCCTGCGCCTGATGTGCGCAATCAACATTTCTCTCAATGCAACATCTACGGCAGCATCACTCGAGCGCGAGTAATGGCAGATAGGACATTTTGAATATGGTGGATCGCCTATGTCATGCTGACGCTCGTGGCGGTCTCGATCATATGGGTGGTCGAAAGAGATGGCCAGGCGCTAATGGCTCATTCTATGGGAATGCCATCAGACTACAGCGGAATGTCGCTTCTGGCAACGGCGAGCATTTTTTCATCAGAGTTGAGAAATAGAGTGATTTGGGGTCTCGTGATGATGGATGAGTATTCCAGGGGACTGTGAAAAAAGGAGAGTAGAAATGTAGTATTCCACCCATCTAACCATAGGTGCACACATAATTCACTTGATAGCGGTGCACACTTAACAGGGATCGTGACAAATTGCTGCAGTCATGGGAATGTCGATTCGAGACAGTTCTGGAGGTTCCATACACGAACAAGTACTAGCATATATTACAGCCTGCAGTTCCTGAGCATTTTCATGAAGAGCTTAAAAGGGCTGCATCCGCATCTAGATTCTCGCTTTTTATCATCGATCGCTCCAAATCATGTCGGACCAGTTGCTAAGTACGACGGTCCAATTCTCAAGACGTACCCACTAACGCAATGGACAGGTCACCCCCAAAAGTTATACTCCACCATCGAGACAACTCTCTATGACGATGTTTCAGGACCACGGGGTTACTCCGAGCCTATTCTGACCCCATTCTTCATCCCGCAATCCGAGAGCGCTCATGGCTGTCTACGGGTAAACGTCCTAGCCGGTACTGATCTGGAGACGACATTGGGTGTGGGACAAACGCCTTTTCTATATGCTATTGGGCTGCTCCACAAAGCCAAGCGACTTGGTACAATCGTTGGTAGTCAAGAGGGGCTTCTTTTCACTATTTTTGATATATACTCAAGGCCGGCGCTCTATGACACAATCAATCCATTGGATCCCCTCCTGTTCGCGCGTGCCACGGCCTCTCTTGACGAACAAAGGAAGTTCTACAACAGAGTCTGGAGGCTGTATATGCACTCCGATCGCTACATTCTCGTCTTTGCCATCGGCCAGCGTAGAAAGTTGAGACTAGTTATGCCGGACTTTATCTATTTTTAAGTTTAGTTCACTTTGAAGTGCTAAGAATCTTGATATTGTAGTAGGTTTAGCAAGTTCGTAGGTCTAGCTGGGACCACTGAACGCCCTTAGAAGGTCTCTCCTAGGAATATTCTCCCAAGACGTCCTAAGTGCTGATCGACTGCATAATCTAAGGCAGCATTAGGCTCGTAAGCGACCAGTATAGCAAGCAGGCCGAACAAGCTGTCCACTTCATAGCTAAGCTGCCTCAGGAACCAAAAGTCGCCAGGGCAATACTAGGCAGGAGGTCTAAGCATCTAGGGGCGGGCGCCGCAGTCACAAGGTCGGCAACATCAACCGTGTCGATTATGACAGGATATTGCGTATGAGGTGAGCGACATACCTTCGATCACGGCTCACAGGTAGTTGTTGGTATAGAGCTTGGCGATGTTGGCGAAGCCAAATTGGTGGATTTCATATATGCTGACGCTGTGATCAAGGCCAGGCTGACTCTTCCCACGAGACTGGTCTTAGCGCCGTCTCGTACAATGAGATTGACCAGTAATGCCTGTAGTATAGATAAGGTCTGTTATATTGTCATTGCACTTGACAGTATTGTGCGGAAACTTCGAACACATGTTTCATTGCGTACTATCATAAACAAATAATGGCAAAAGAGCTTGGATTGAGCAGCATAAAACACCGTACTGATGCTACTAAACTGACAAGTGGCTCGCAGTCTCCCATGCTCCCATTGCTGGACCAAAGTCAAGGGATGATACCCACGACGGAGCCCACTGAACTTTGATCTTTTGATAAAAGGCTCCTCCTTTGTCTGTATGTATACCCGGCGACGTCTTGACGATCTTCCAAGTCTTTTGGGCATAATGGAGTTTCTCAGCAGACAGCAGACTGGGCGTCCATCGTACCAAATATCGCTTTGCTCGTTTTGCACGCAATCCTTGACCTCGGACAAGACGCATTTGTAGTATTTCTTCCACCTCCCACAACCTCTCGGAAGACTCTATCGTATGCGTTTTCGACGTAGATACGTACATTGGGGAGGATCGTGTAGGGAGGGCTGTAAAGGTATTCTCGGTAGGCCAAGTAAAGGTAGGAAGGGGTGGTGAAACTCTTAGACTGATAGGGATGTTGTTGTCGCTGCTACAGAGTATTGTAGAGTTACGAGGTATTGAAAGTGATGCTTGAGGCAGATCTTATTAGTGAGGGAGGTAAAATAACGTTCTAGATAACTCACTGTGTTTTTTCAACTCCTCGGATTTCAAAGTTGTATCGCTTGTCTCATTGATAGCTGCTTCTCTGGCAAATTCAGGCCACCATGTTGGCATTCTAAAGACGGGGTTTAGCGACACGCGAAGCGACGGCCTTTTCCTGCGAACCATAATTGTAGCTACAGGCCGTTCGTTCAGTCTTATAGAAGGTACGTCTTTTGTTGGCGTAAGGAGGTCTCTGATACAGAAGAGACACAGGACTTGGGACAGGACCTCATAAGACCTTCGAGTCTGGCACCACACGCTCGCGTCGATCGATCTCTACTCAATCAGCTCGTTAGTGGGGGAGCGAAAAGCCAGTGGCTTGATGCACGTGCCGCTGTTAGTTGCCACCCGAGACGTGCATGAGTACTTGGAGTGGTAGTTGCCTCCTTCACAAGCTGTTACTCCGCCTCCAAATCGTCGATCATCGCGATCCAGGCTTCCCATTGCTGAGGAGTCCGTCGATGACGGCACAGTGTGCCTGTTACATCAGCTCCTTCGTTTCAACCAGCACCAATCAGGAACGTATTCTGCGCATGATCACTGCATGGATGCCTGTAGATCATACCAGGCTACCGCTCGTGCGCAGAGCTAAAGACGTTCAATGCTTATCGAGGTCCCACTCTTTCAGCTCTCGTTCGTGCTCGCTCTCGAGAATGCAGCGATCAGATCAATTCTTGTTGAAGATGACTTCAACTCCTGTGTACCTGTCACTGAGTATTTTGCGCCGTTCGCAGAGCACCCAAAAAGCGAGTCCGTACCTCTGCCTGAAGATACTCCTCTCCTCAGTAACTGCTTTTCAGAATCCCCATTATCGCCCAGAAGTATATAGATGTAGTTGCGCCGTTCGACCGCGTGTAGACTGTCTAGCCTCGAAAAGCTGGGGTAGCGTTCTATGTCCTTGCTTATCCCGGCACAGCCCTCGCATCCACGGTAGTCAAACCAACCTAATCAGCCTGGAATGAGAGCGCGTAGAAAAACTACAGATGAGCCAGTAGAGCAGCTGACAGTGGAGCACGAGAAGGGCGATCATCGTAAAGAAGACCCCTTCGAGATAGTAGCCCCGGCCGCGTCATGAGACAAGACAGCTGTTGGTCTCGATCGCCACGAGCGAGGCCGTTCTAGGTAAGAACCCCGAGCTGTACATCAGCTAATGAGTGGGCAGTGCATTATTCGCCGACGCCGTCGTTCTGGGCTGGTCTGGTGTGGAGGCGCAGTGCAGCAGCTGAACCGCTGGCTGCGAAGGTTGTCAGTACGGGAAACCTCGATCTCCAGCTCAAATCTCGATCGATAGGGGAGACGTACGGGAGGTGAGACTTACGTAGCGTGGGGTCTAAGGAAAAGTGTAGGCGAACAGAGGATTATTCGAATGAGAAAACAGCGAGGGATGTCGAGGGGTTTAAATGTTCTTCTTGATATTTCGGCCAAGAACGCTTTACCCGATTGGGCGCTAGTGTAGCCGCTTTACCGAGTTCGGGAATTCACGAAGGTTGCAGCGTCCGGAGGTCCGCACCAAAAGTCCTGGACAAGCCCTAACCCTACTTTTGGAAGATAGCTCCATTTTTGTAGGAGGGGCGCTATCCGAGAGAGTCTTGGCGTCTAGGACTTATGGTGCGGACCTCCGTAAGCTGATTTCACCACTGTTATATACTAATCCTTCTTAATGCTCATTACCAGTCACCATTCTATGGTAGACTTTGATGCTCGGTGAATCTGGTCGATATCTTATCATCACTTCCTCACAGTGTTATATAGCATTTCTATTATGATTTCCTAATCACTCAGATTAACAGCGTTCATCAACGCGATGCCTAATAATTAAGGAGTAAGAACCATTACCTCTACGAAGGCAGTTATAAAGAGGAAAAGAATAATCTACAACGAGCCAGACGAAGCGCGTCAGAAGAAGAGGATTTAAGATAATCAATCTTATGCGATAAAACGAAAATTCAAAGAGGATGCCGGCGAATAATTTCGATTCTCTCTAAAAAGAAAGATTCTCGTAACGCCTACGATTCGATTACAGAGCATTGTCCATCTTGGAGTGGGATGATCCAAGAAGAGATCTCTCAAAACCACCTTGCCGTCGACGCCGTCGCTCGGGCCCCATACACCCCTCAGCGCGCTCTGGCGGGAAAGCTGCTGGATGTACACACTAGCACAAAGTACGAGGCATTCACAGAAATACTATCACTGAATCTGCTCGTCGAGGAGCTGCGAGTCGTTATAAGTGATATACGAAAGATTCTTCGAGAGCTCGAGACGCTATATTCTATACCGATCCTGATCACATCACATCCCACACCGTCATTCTCTATCGAGGATCTTCTAAATTAAGTCTCTAAATTTAAAAACGCTAAAATCGAAGTTTTCGATTCTTCTATTTATAATTATAAGGATGCCACGCGAGGAGCAAGCGTCGAGGAATTCATCAAAGCCTTTTCTAAGCATGCGCCGACTGCAGCTGCACTGAATTTCCTAGACATCAACAATACCACTGGTATCCAATTCCTCCCACGATGCGTAATCGAAGGATGCCTGGAGACGAAATGCCAGGTAAGGTTACGGCAACGGGCGAGAGTAGTTAGTTTAGAAAAAAACTTAGGCGAGCTGGGGGGCATAAAGATCCATCCCGAGTTCTTCATAGCGACCAAAAAAGGCGGCATCTCTCCTCAGCATGTGGACAACCTTGGTAAAATGACCTGTGTCATGATGCTCGAGGGAGTCAAATTCTGGTACATCCCTGCAGGCGATCGAGACGCAATCCGACGGGACCATCGTGCTGGTGACACTGCACCGGGTTCAGTGCAGCTGAAGATTAAGCTGGATGTTGGCAAGGTCTTGTGAGCAGGCTGTCCCGAAAGACTTGTCACTAAGATACTAACGGTTCGACTAGTATACAGATGCCAGGTCAAGTCCATGCTGTATGGTCACAGACTGATTGTCTGATGGTCGGTGCACACTTCTATACCGCAGCCACATTTGCAACGTCTCTCGATTGTATTCATGAGCAACTTGTGGGAAATATCCGCAGTAATGAAGACGCTTCCTCAGATGACTGGACCACCCTGACTACCATTATTACTTTTCTCGACGACCGAGAATGCTTCACGGAAAAGGAGTCTTATCGCGCCTATGAAAGCCTCAAGAACTTGAACGAATCACCACAGCTACTATCCCATTTCAAGTCTCTCGAGAATGGCTCGAAGTTGCAGCAGGCTCTCAAGAATTTCCAGACTACGGCAAAGAAAGTGTTGAAAAAATGGCAGGACAAGGCTTAGACGGTGTTAATAGCGGCCTCGGTAATTAGCTAGAAATCTTTAATAGTAATTAGACCTCGATCGATTGCCTACTAGCATTAAAGGTTGACCAGTTCTCTTGCCCCAGATACTCGAAACGCGTAATAAAACGTATTATCGATATGTTATATATAGAAAAGACTTAGATAATTCTTTTTTATTATATTATAGATATTATAGATTAATAAAGATCTTAAATATATAGCGTATCTTCTAGTTTAATCTAGCTAGACTATAATATCTAAAATCTAAAGTATAATAAGATTAGTAGAAAATATGCTTAGTATAAATTTATATTAAACGCTTATTCGATACCGAACTCCTATTTAGTACTAAACGCCTATTCGATGCCGGACACCCATTCGATATCGAATTATTTATTAAGGTAGTACGGGTCGAATTTACTATATAGGCTTCGTCTTCAACCTATATAAAGAAGCTGCCGTTTATGATATACCGCTAACTTCGCTAACCTATGAGACTGGGTCTGATATTCACACCTACGACATCTTACAGAATTGCTTAGGAATGTACTTAAGGTGAGAAAAAACGCAAAACGAGTAAGACTTCAACAAAGGCATCCTTCCCAGCAGGCGTGGATCAACAATATTACCTGGAATAGTTGTCGGATCACAAGTCCTTGCCTTTCCACTTTAAAAGAGACTCTTTTGAGAAGTCATCGACCATACCTCCCGATGAACCGATGGTCGTGAGTAGAAGGTGTAGTGATTTCGTTTCACTCCTTCCTTCACGGCTCAAATCACGCTTCTTTAAAGCAAGAATGCGTCGGGCGTCATTGAAAACGCTTCTATGAATAGAGAGTGACGGATATGGATGAAACTTCAAGGAAACGTTTTGGCGACCGTTTGAAAAGATTTGTGACAGGGATGATGGCTGGTCCTTACTGGAATGTCTCGAAGGTCTTGAGATAGATAATTTTGTTGAGTGGGCGGGTGACGATATGCTTGAAGGACGAAACAGCGAAATATTTAACAAAATGCGTTAACTGGACTGGGATGATAACCTTGAATTAATGTCGATGAGCGACGAGGGGGGTATTCTCCCTCGCGTAGCTGAGTGGGCTTCGGAGACTCCAGGCAGTTCTGATTGACTTCTATCAAGCGAAGGCCTCCCAAAGGGGCCGAGAGACTCTTTGATTCAAGCATGGCCTAAGTTTGATGGAGCTTACCGACAGCACGATGATTGATTTTCAGTGTGAACGACTCCAGAGACGCGTTAGCGAAGATGGAAGATTGGATAAAGATTGTTTTAGACATAGCGGAGATACTATCTGGAAGAAATTCTATGATATAACAGTAGATCAAGATTAAAGTAGTAGGGTCAAGGCTTACTATCTCCCGTTTTCATTTATTTCTACAGTATAATGATTATAAGTCTATTTATAATTCTTACCTTCGTTATAATAAAGAGAACTTGATATATATTTCTCGTGCATGCGCTCCAGAACCTAGCAAAAAAAATGCTTCTTGAATGATAAAGATAAAACGTTCTATAATAATTATTCTCTTCCTTAGTGCACTCACCGTTCTAATCGTAATTCTTCTACGACTATAATTAACGTCTTCGTACTATCTAAGTAATAGAGTATTCGCAAGTAATTAAATCGATATCTATCGAACTATCTTTAGATATCAAATAGTAATAGATACGCTCGTTAGCTACTTATTTAGACTAGTAGTAATATTATTATCTAACTTAGCGATTAATAAATTAATATCTATTACCGCCTCCGTATCTTTATAACTACTCTTTATACCTTCGTAAATATCTATTATATATACTTTTAATAGTAATAGTAATGATAATAATAGTGGTAATAGCGGCGGCGGCGAGCTCTAAAGCGTCTAACTGAGGCTTACAGTTTCCTTTAGTCTAGTAAGTATAGAGAATCTATACTAAGCGAGCTTAACTCGACTTTATAATTAGATTAAATAAAATTATTATTCGAACTACGTAATTAAGGCCAGGTTTCTAAATAATAGTAATCTATATAATCTACTTATTATTACTACGCTCTATAGCTTAGAAGCTATACTATATAATATACTTAAAAACTCGAACTTCGATATAAATAAGTTTCTTTTTTAATTAGCTATAGGGGTTATTAATTAATTTTTTTTATAGAGTAACTAATCTAGACTAAAAATACTCTTCTTAAAGAATAAAATTAGTTATTAGCTTTAAAATCTTAACTTTTTTTAACTTATTTTAAGATAATAATTAGATTCTAATAAATATCGTTAGAATTAGAATCTAATATTTAATCTTATCGAATATATATTAAATATATTAATTTAGAAGTAATAAGATAATAAACTTCTATATATAACTATTAGTAAAGGCTATATTCTTATAATTTAGCGTTTAATAATAAGAGCTTAATATTAGATAGAGTTTTAAACTAAATTACTACGTAACGTTTAACGCGATTAATAGTTTTCATTCTTTAATAAGTTAGTGTATTAATTAGTTAAAGAGACTATTTTAAGAAATTACGTTAATATAGTAAAATATTTATTAGAATAGAAGAATATCGAAGTATATCTTTAATACCTTAATTCGCGCGGTGAAAACGTTCTATATTTAGTATTAAGACTCTATAGCTTAGCGATGTTTTATCTTCTAATTTCTCGTTTTTAGAGAGGTATACGTTAGATAGACTATCGGGGAGATACGACCCTCGTTCGAATTATTATAAGCTCTTTAGATCTACGAAATCGATATGTGTTAACGAGGATATTGCTCTTACTAGACAGTGCTAATAGAAATAGTTATTTCTGAAATAAGTAGTAAGATCCTCTACGGATAGTAGTGCGGCTTAAAGATTTAGATATATGCGATCTCTTGATATTTATTAATAAATTCAGTTCACTCTTAATTCTAACACGTGATTATAATAAGCAAATGATTTTAAAGGATATAACTCTCGAGAACTAGAAGAAGTTGCTGGCTATATTGTAATTATTACTCACATATGCTAACGTAGCATCGAAGTCGGCTAATGATAGCTCTGTTGGCAAGATACCGAGCGAGAAACCTCTGGATCGATCGACTTGGTGACATAATGCCACGGGGGTATACCGTCTACTAATGCTGCTCATGCAAGATCTTCGACTCGATGTTAACAATAAAGATATAGATGGTCGAACGCCTCTTATTCATGCGGTGCACAACTCCCATCAGGAAGTCATGGACATGTTAATCGATACCATGAGCGTTTAAGTGGAAATCACGGTAGTGCTGATATCGCGTCCGATTAGTATGGGTCCGCCACACCACACTTTTCGTATCGGTTGACAATTAGGGGAACAGCGCTGACTTATGGCGTGCTTGACCTGGAACTTGTGGGTAGAGGAAATATTGAGGCTTCGGCTCTCTATGATATAGTCTGTATCTTCTTAGCGAAAGGAATATAGACGTTTAAATAGTTAAGGAGATATAAAAGAGTATAAATAAATAATCTAAAAATTAGAAGAACGTAGAATAGATCTACTCTATTTCGCTCTATATATATAATATTTATATAAAATATTCGTAATATCTTAAAATAGCTATTTAAATATATAGAACTCAGTTATCTTAAAGAGCCTTATATTTTTTAAGATTAATACTATTACTTAATCTCTTAAATCTTCTATAATTTTTTTTATATATCTTAATCTTCGCTATAATTATCTTATATATATCTATTCTTATAATTATCCTTAATAATAACTTCTTTATTATCGCTAACTAATATTTTATTTTTATACTCTTAATCGAATTCTTATCTTAACTCTTATTTCATAATACTATTATATTTTTAATATTTATATTATTATAAGTTAAATAGCGTTAATAAGAAAGTCTATTAAAGACGTAATAGATATTAAATATTTAAACTCTATACGAGTATAAATATTAATAAAATTTATATTCTAAAGAACTTATAAAGAAATATTATTCTCTTTAATCTCTAATAGAGATAACTTATTAAATTAACGTCTTACTAAGCTTCTTACTTCTTATAGCCTTCGTAATTATTCTAATAATATTAATTAACTCGAGAAAATCGACTTCTATTTATCTTCTAATCTAACTATCTAATAGTTCTTTAAACGATTTACTATATTTTATATTATTAATTATTATATTAATACGATTAAACTTATTAAATATAATTATAAAGACTAATTAAATATCGTTAAGATCTATAATATTAAGTTTAACGACGTAATAGTTCTTTAAGATAGTATATTCGAAGAAGATAATTCTTAGTTTACGCGCTATAGCAATTATAATATCATCGATATCGAGAACTTATTATATAAAATATTATAAAAAAAACGCATATATTCTTATTTATTATTCTTCTCAATGTAACTTAATATAAAACATCGAATAATAGAGTTTATACGCCTAGAACTTATATATATCAAAGTTTCATATTGATTCTATATCACGGTACGCCAAGGCCTCCTCCAGAGCTACCACCCAATTGGGCCTAGCGTGGCTTGGCACCGCACATATCTGCCCTGCGGGCACATAGAATAATCAACATCTTTTACACCACTATGAATTCATGACCCAGTCATCCATTTCCTTGACATTCTGGGCCTGGAAGCATCCTCCTAGTTAGTCCCGGGAGCTCTCGCTTAGGAACGTCCCTCTATAAAGACCGCATTAGCCCATAGGAGATTAGAGCAGGAAGGTCTGTGGTGCCCAAACAGGGTTTGATCTCGGTATAGTAGCACAAGCAATACGGTATGGAGTTTCATGTAAATTATAAGCATAGTAATCGCTAGATTCATAGAACCGCCGTTCGAATTGTGGGCATCAATTGGACACGGAGCCGAATATGGCCACATTGGCACTGCTATTAATAACGTTAAGCATCCCTCCACTTTTGATTTGCCGGACGCCCAGCATGTCCTCACCCCTCCGATACACCCTGTTGCAACCTGATGGAAAACTTCTCAAAGCGTTCATCCTCGGCCAGGGTAGAACCAGCATGACGTTTCGAGATGGCGCCGCTGCCTTTAAATTCCCTTTAAATAACGACCTTCTTGAGCGTCATGAGCCTTAAGACCATGCCACGGCTGAGATATCTTACAAAATACTTACAGTGCTAAAAAAGGTCTACCAATGCCTTAACAACCACGACGACATTATCAATTGCCTTGACCTCTCCGACGTGGACATCCGACTGACGCTGATGAAGAACGGCAACCTCTAAGATTAACGTTATAAAAGCCGCATTTGTATCCCAAGTCCTGTTTCAAGGACTAGAAAACTTTGTCGCGCCTCCGGAACGAGCAGCCACTCGTGTACTCAGCAGTAAGGCGGAAATCCCTTTAGTAGATTGGGATGAAAATCATCGCAATCATCAAGAAGCTTCCTCACGTCCTTATAAGGAGCTTCATCTTTTCTATCTAAGAAGTAATCACAGGCTCCCGAAGCGTAGACCTAAAAACCTTCTCTAAATATTTTCACACGGGCTTTTTTAACTTTTCGATTCTGCCGACTCGGGAACTCGCAGTAGCATCTGGGATTTTGTGGATGGATACCGATGCTATCATCCCAAATTATGAAGCCGTGTGGATAATCGCTATCTCTAAAGACGCTAAATTTGCCATTGTCGCAGGTTGTACAGATATAGTATGGTCGTACCATACTGCAAACGCCCTCTGAAGAGATCCAGGTACGCCGTTCGAGTCTGGCTGGAGCCATATGCTCGCGAGCCCGGCAATACTTCGATTTCTAAGTTAGCGGAAAAGTAAGTAATTATAAAGTCTTCGACTCGCAAGGCGCATGGCTGGATTGAGAAGGCGACATATTGGAGATCCCGGAGGCTCCCGATGCTCCACGTCACGGTCGAATCCTCCGGCAGAGAGGCTCTTGGATGGCGGCGGGCAGCGCGTTGGGCGATTGGTGTTTAGCCTTGGAACGTCCGTGATCGAACAGTTGAACAGGAGTGAGGACGCGACGGCGATCGTATCTCCCTCGATCCACTTCGATGAAGGAAGAGACGCGGGAATGGACGATGCTTAATGGTTCGACGAGAGCATCTGTCCACAATCTCCCTGAATCTTCTCACTCGGCTGACTCTTATTGCAACGCTCTGACCCTTGTTAGTGTCTAGACGTGATTAAAAAATCCTAGACTTAGCTATTAGATTAGTTATTATATTATCGAAAATTTATAAGAGATAAGTAACTATATAAATTTCCAAGTCCAGCCGTTGTAAGGCTTTCCTTTACGTCTTCTAATACTATCGTTTATCGATTATACCTCGGCGATATTAACGGCTTTAAGGGCGCGCTAACCCAAAACCGAAAGAGAAAAATCGATCGATCTATTTTACTCCCTCGAAAGCCTATCCGAGCGTACTGTTGTTCAGGCTTCCCCGCACAGCCTATCTCCGTCCTTTGTCTCAGCACAACCCTACTGTTGTCCCTAATCCATTCCTCTATACGATAATATTGGTGCAATTGCGAGCGCCGGATTTGTCCAACTAGTTGATTTTAATTCCTCCTTCCTTTCCGAAGCAGGGATTATGGTCAGTGGCCTAACAACGTTCGTCTAACTTCCTGCAAACATCAGAAAGCGCAAAGCCCGATACGTCCCGGTTAGTAAAGCTGACGGATAACAGGCCACGCCCTCTTCTCTTTATTATTTGTCTTATTTCCCTAGTCTAACGGAGAGTGAACTATTCTAAGATCATTACACTTGCCAAATAACAAAATATTTGTGAACCTTGCAATGCTTTGGTCTATGATTGAGCTGGGCCAGCGCATAAAGGGTGCACTGGTTATTGCCCCTAACCGGTTGACTGTTAGTGGGCCGCCTCGCGTCCAAGTTGTTCCTACCCCATTACACCAGTACTTGACGGACCTAATTCAAGTCACAATGGGGATGCGGGCCACTCTCCCTGACGTTTGTCCATTACTGGTGACGATTGAGCGCTGATCCTCTGCACCTCTCATTGGTTCAGAGAAGGAAAGTAGTCATGCATCGACACGTCATAGGAACTTATTCGCTTTCGGCACATTTGGTTATGCATGTTTTCGGAAAGCTGTCAGCCGTTCCCCCCGAGCCTTGACAAAATCGACAAGTGGTCGGGCACAGTATCTTCTCGACAGAAGGGCCAGTCCAGGGTGATTAATGGACAGCTCATGGCGAAAGAAAAATTTCGTCCATGGCTGCATTAAGACGAAAAAGATTATGCAAGAACCCGACGCCCGGACCCATGCCGGACGACCCCCGTTTCTCACCTCCGCAGCCAGCGAATCAGTAAACATTAAGTGGTCGATTGCGAGGTCCCGTTTCCTGAGACGAAGATTTTGGCAATATATCCGCTCGAGAAGCTTCTTCACTTCACCATGAATACTGGGACGCTTGTTATCCAACACTTCAACGATTCCGGCTGCGGCGGCCAGTGGTTCCGCTTATCTTCTTGCTCTCGGCTCTCCCGCATCGGTGTTTATTTGCATTAGCAGTATCCCAATTCCTGAGACCACGTATCGATGTAAGTATCGTGTCGTGGGTAGCTGCATGGCGACCTAATGTGGGGCCACATGACTAATTTCTCCCGAGTCACTGGGCCCAGATGGGCGTGGATGGAGGGGAGCCAAAGGAGATTCACGTTCCGATCAAAAGTCGAGGAACCGAGAACTAATCTCATTACGCGCAATTCTTGCCCTCATTGGGGCATTATCCTGCAAGACAGAGCCTAGACCGAATCCGGCTTCCTCGATACCAGCAAGCAGATAACAGTTGGAAAATGCTTTTTCTTTGTGTAGAGTAACAAGCTTAGGATCTCAATTACCCGGCATCTCTACGTCAATAAACCGCCGACAATTCACCTCTTCTAATTTCTCTCGAAAAGCTTAGTTCAGGTCGAAACGCATATTTCATTTGTGCCGCTATGCTTTTAGCACCGACCTCGTAAAATAAAAGGCTTCTAAAGAAGTTTATATGAGCTTAAGTTCAGGATAGCGCTTTACTACTATAGAGGCGAGGTAGGAATATAGAGTAAAATTTTAGTATGTTCAGAATTAAAACTCTATAGGCCTGGCCTTCTCTTTTAACATCGGTTACATCTAACCTATAGAGTCTTAAAAGCTTAGTTTAAGCTATATATGCTGTAGTCTCCGTATAAAGACGCATTCACGTAAATTTCTAACATATCCTTTATGAACTCGGGAACTTCGATAAGGACTTTTTCATAAGCAGTCGCGATAGCTTCATCGTTAAGTATTTTTGATAAATTCTTCCGTATTAGAATGTAAGTAGCGTTGCGTAGGTGTCTAATAGATAACGAAGTCCTTTCATAAACGTCGTAAATGGACTCTATGAATTCCAAAGGTTCTCAGGATACTGCGTATCTAGAAGAGTATTTCTTCACGGTTACGTCTCTTAAGCCTGGAATATTATATCGATCCCCTAGTGCAAATATCCGAGTATGGAGCTGAAGCAGAGAAATACGTGATATAGTCTCTCGTTTAGTTACTTCGGGAATGTCGTTATCATAGCTTATGCTGTAAAAGAAATTGATTATTTTCTTTAACTCTAGATATGATATATTCGCTATCTCGATGACTCCAGTGAAAGTCTCCTAGTTAACGATCTTAGGGATGTTTTGGATATAGAGAACGATTTCTACCTCGAATCCCTTAGAGCACGCTTTGTAAAATATTCTAGATTGAGGGCAAATAATGATTTGGTGGACGTTGAAGCGTCTAGCTTTATGACTTAGGATAAGATTAGTAAAATTCCCCTCATCTCGAGATCTGCGTAATGATTAGCTCTCCGATAAACCGCTATGTAAGCTAAATTTCATACGCTGAGATTGTAGAAAGAAGTTGTTGGCTAAGAGAACGGCCTTTTGATGTTATATCTACTTATTTATTATTCTATCAAGCAGCCATAGGCTTATTATAACTCGACGACAATGTTGGAAGTAATATTCAGAGATGCGCAAAGTTATTGTATTTTCTGCCAATGCTGGGAAAAACCCGGCTATCCCGGAATATTCGCGCTTTTAGCTACCTTCCGTGCAACTAAGGCAATAAACTACCGGAAAGAGCATTCACGACTGTTACTCGCTATCTATCTTTCCCACACCAGGTTAATTAGCCCAAGCCTTCAATTTTAAGCGCTTCTAGAGAAAAGAGCGTTTGTTATTCTCAGTAATATCAGACTTATCACTGCGTGTGGATAGTGGGGGGTAAAATCTGTGATTACTCTGAAGTCTTATCCTAATTTAACTTTATACAACACGATCACTTTGATGGTGGTTCCAGTCTAACAGTGTCCACAATAACCGCAATCATCAAGGGAGCAGCTCGTACATTCTGTTGAAGATCCGAAGCCTTTATCCCCGCCAATAAACCCACGTCCTTTCCTAGCTCTATGGCCTCATCCTTCGCCATTGTCACCATTAGGGAGGGTTTTAAGGCCATGGACCCAACGCCATATGCCTCCCCTGTCCATTGTAGCTAGCCGTCTGCGATAAAGATACTCTAGCTAGCGTTGCTAGACGTACTTTTTCCGCCCAAGCTGCGGAGACCTTCGCCGAATACGTGGACCACAACCCCGGTAAAAAGAGTACATCCTGGATGCAGTATTTCCTGATTTCTTCCGCTAAAGGCCGTGTATTGAACACCTCGTAGGAACCGCCTTGCTCGGGAGCAAACAGCTTCCTCCCCTGCTCCTTGACTGTTTTCCAATCAGATCTCTGGGGATAGGTCATCGTGGCATCTTTCTCAATGCATTTCGCCAATCCATTGACGCATCTCCGGTTGAATGAGCGGGCAGCGTTCTCCAACAACTGAATGTCCTGGACGCCAGCAAGGCTGATATTAAAATGGCTGTAGAGCGCATCGGAGTCGTTTCGGACATCAAAAAAGACCTTTGGGATATCAGGAGACTCGAGGACGACTTTGAGCGTCCGGCCATCAGAGCTTTGGGTGGAGAATGCTTTCTCACCGAGGACGTGGACGTCGATTAGGTAGACGTGATTTTGAGGGAGGACGAGAAGCTCGATGATAGAAATACTACCATGACGTGAAAGGTTCGTTCCCTCGAGATCAAGGTAGAGAGAAGGAGGGGAGGTCGGCAGAGCAGCTAAGGTGTCAAGTAGACTAGCTATGGTGGCGGGAGAGTCAACGATACTGGAAGCCATGACCGTTGGTGTGTAAGGTTGACTGCTGGTGTGACCAGGGTGCTAATATATGACCACCACAGGTGTTGGGGAAAGTGATTTCTGCCTTCAAATAGAAAGGGGAGAGCTATCGAACTTGATATGAGAGTTATTAGTAGAATAGGCTCTAAGCTAGGATCAGACTGCAGAATGGGAACGTAAGCACGACAGTGGGCGACATGCATATGGCAGCGAGCTTCCGTGTTCCCCCGGCTCTCGTGCTCGGTTCTTGATCGAAGGATCATCGAGTAGCTTCAGCTGGTTTAGCAGAAACGTTTTGCCAGAGCATGGAACTCCTTATAAGCCGACAACTATTGCTTTGTGATCGGAAGCAGACCGAATTACAGGGTTTGTAAACTAGTTTGGCTGAAGATCCGCCATTAAGCTCGGTATGTTGCTTGGTGCCTTCTCGCAGTTGGTAAGCGTCATACTAACTCCCTATGTCTTATAGGAAGGGTGGGTTAGGAAACTCAATTCGATGATCTATGAGACAAGTAAAGGCCTATGAATTAAATTTATGGAGTTGGATTTTTCTAAGTTAAATGGAATTTTAGTCCTAGCCCTAAGTTAAATCGAACTTTAATCGCTTATTATACATTTTTAACTTATTTCTATTATTACGAAATTAATAAAGAAAATAAAAGCTTTAACTCTAAGTTAAATCGAACTCTACTTACTTTCTATACGATAAATAATCTACTTCTATTATTATAAATTATTAATTAATTATATCTTTATTTAAAAAAGAAATATTTATTTAATAATTTTATTTTTAATATATCTTATTAATTAAGTAAGTTACTTTTTTAATAAATCGTTTAAAATTATAATTAATAAATCGATCTTATTAATAATTTAACTTAGAATTATATATATTTAATTATAAATAAAGATCTCGAAGTATAAATATAAGTCGATTTACTATAATAATTAATTTTAAAATTTATTAATTATTATATTAAAGGTTAATTGAATTAGAAATTAGATATATTAAAAGAAAGTATATAAATTATTTAAATTAGATAAAGTTAGAGGGATATATAATATATAGTATTATTTATTATTATATTTACTCTTAAAAATATAATAATTAAATATTTTAAATCTAATATATTTAATTTATAGATATATCTTATTATATAGATTTATATATTACTTTAAATTCTTTAATAATATTATTATATAATTTTATTTTAATTTTAAATAATAGAGTAAAAGTAAAGTCGATTTAAAGATATTTATTATTTTAATAGATAGAAGAAAGCTATCTTTCTTATTAACGATTTAATCTCTATTATTATAAATAATCTTAACTCTAAAAAATTTATTAAGAACTTAATTATTAAATCGAGTAATATTCTTATTAAGAGTATAAAGAATCGCTTTATATATATAGAAATTAGCTATTTAATATAAGTTAAGATTATTATAAATAATATTAATTAGTTAAGTAATAAAGTTATTTAATAATTACTTAATAGATTAATTAATAGCTTCTTATTTTTTAAAGCTTACTAAAATATTATTACTTATATTTAATAGTTTTTAAGCGAATTTCTTTATATTAGTCTAATCTTAATTAATTAAATTAAAATTTCGAAGTTTTATATTTTTTATAAATTTAAAAATTTAAATATAATTTTAAAAGTAGAATATTTTTAATATAATTTAAGCGATATAATTTAACTTAATATTTTTAATATTAGAAGAATTTAATAAAAGTTATTATAGAAATATATAACTATATTATTAAAAGAAGTAAAGTTTTTTTAAATATCTTAAAGTATATAATTAACGATCTCGATATTATAGCGATTTTATATAGAGATTTTATTTTAGAAAATAAGCTTAATCGTTTTTAATAATTAAGTTAAATTAAACTTTATTAATATATTATAATTAGATTAAATAATAATATTAAGAGAAATCTTAAAGCGAGAATAAATAATAATATTATCTTAAAGAAGAATAAAAGTAATATTAGATAAAGTTATAGTAATAGCTATTTTAGAGTTATATTATACTTTTTATAATATAATATTCTAAAGTATAACTTTATTAATATTTTTATAGCTATTTAGAAAGAAGAGTTAGCTATTAAAATAAGAGATTATATTTTAAATAGCGTTAATTATAATAATTTAATCGTTATTAAAATTTATCTATATTTACTCTTAGATATTAATTTAATAGCTATATTCTTCGCGTAGAAATCGATTTTAATTATTAATATATATTATTTATAATTTTATTAAATCGCTAATAAATTAAAGCTAATAATAAAATTAATATTCTTTATAAAAGTAATATTATTCTTTTTAAGTAAATTTAAATTAAATAAAAATAAAAGTCTTTAACGACGATTTATTTATATTATATATTATTTAATAGAGAGAGAGTATAATATTTAATTTAAAGAATATAAATATAGTTATTAAATAATTTAAATAAAGAATAATATACGTTAGTTAAGAAATATACGTAAAGTGCGAGAGAAGAATTAAATTATTTATGGGTAAAAAAAGGAAAAATACGTCTAGCGCGAAAAGTTTTAGTATATGAAAAAAGAAATATTATATTAAAAAAAGTCGTAATGTTTTAATATTACCGTTAGCGTGGTAAGCTATTTATACTACGCTTAAAGTTTTTCTATTTAATAAAGAAGAAATTATCTATATACTTTAATTTATAATTATTTTATAAATTTAGAGAGTTATTAGATTTATATTATAATAGAATTATTATAAAAAGATCTTATAAGTAATATTCTCTCTATTAAATCGCTACTTTATTTAATATTTAATTTTATTTAATATTATTATAAAGTAAGTCTTTTATTATATAGATATTATAATAAAAAAAAGAATATTATCGTCTATTATACGTAAGTCTTTAAATAATATAGAGTTTAATATATTTAGAAGAAGATATTATAGATAGAAAAGCTTTTTAGTATTTAAATTAATATAGTATATTCTTTTAATAATACTTCTACGCCTCTAATATAAACTTTATTTAAATATATATATATATATATATTTTTTTTAGATATATTATTTCAATAAATTAATATAGAAGAGATCTTTTACTTATTTTCGCTATTAACGTTATTAAACTAATTAAAAGAAAGCTATTAGCTTAATCTAGCGTTTATATATTATATCGATTATCTAGAATAGATTATTATTATTATTAAATATTATATTATATTAATTTAGAAGATAAATAAATAATCGTTTAATAGGAGAATTATAATTATATAATTTATTGCTAAAAATCCTTTAATAGACTTTTATAGAGCTTATGTATTATACGTTTTAATACTCTTAAATCTTATTTATCTAATTTAGATCTATATCGTTTTAACTTATATTATTTTTATACTTTAATTAAAAACTAACTTAATTGCTACTTTTATAAATATATTTAAAATATATTTATAAACTTTAATATTAGCGTAAATCTTTATATTAATATAAGCGTTATATTTAATTAATAAATAGAGATTATAAAATATTACTTAATAATTCTATTTAAATTTATTATTTAATATCTTAATAGACTTATATTAATAATATATAAAATACTCGAAATTTAATTTAAAAATAATATAATCATTAAAATTCTTCGAAAATTATTTATTATATATATTTTTATCTAAATTTTAATAAGATAAGATAATATCTATTCTACTAATAATATATTAATTATAGTTTCTATAAAGTATATATCTAATAATGATTATATAGAGATTAAGAAATAAATTTTAATTAGAGATTTTAGTATTAATAGCGATATTTATTTTAATAACGTTAAAGAATTAATCTTTAAAATATAATATAATAAGAATATAAATATATAATAGACCTCGTTTTTAAAATTTAATAGTGTAAATATAGGTTAAAACTCGATTTATTATTTATAAAGTTAGTTAGAGTTAAAGTTAATCGATATTTTAATTAATTATATTTCGCCTTTATAAGAATAAACTTTTTTTTAAATAATATATAAGGCTAATTAATAGAAATTATAATATATAAAGAATTAAATTATATTAGAAGTATTTTTAGAAATTATAATCTATATTAATTATTTAATTAATATATTATTTAAGAAGCTATTTTATTAAATAAAAAGAGAAAGAGCTATTATATTATAATAGAGGATAAAAAGAATAAGAGTATATTTAGTATCTTTCTTTTTAGAATATTATTTATAAGAATCTTTAGCTTTAATTTAAATATTTTAGTAATTAAATTAAAATAATTAATAGCGTATTCGTCGAATAGAAGATTTTTAATAATCTTAATTTATTTTAAATTATAGATAAAAGTTATAAAGAGGTTTAGTTAATCGAATTTAGTAAATAGGATAATAGTATTCTAATAGAGTTATTTTATAAATTATAAGCTTTCTTAATAGAAGAAAGAGAGAATAATGCGTTATTTATTAGCTTAATTATTTATAATAACTTTATTAATATAAATATTAACGACTATTTAATAGATATTAGCTTAAATAATATTTTAATTTATCTTTAATTAATAAAGTTTATTATTTTTAATAATTATATAGATATTATAAATGAAATATTATAGTAGTCTATCGTAGTAAAAAAAGCGATTAAACTTATTAAGATAACTTTATATTATATATTTATAAGAAGTTAGCGATTAATAAAATAGAAGAAATAAATAATATAGATCTATAATATAAGATAAGCGTTATTTATATAGAGCTATTTTAATTAATAATTTTATTAATTTGTAAAATAATTTTATTATTATTATATCGATAGATAAGAAGACTCTTATTTAATATAATATCTATATTAGATATATTATTATACTATAATTATTTATTAAATAAAAATATAAGAAAGTAGTATAAGGATATATAGGCTGAATATTAATATAAAATATTAAATCTCTTATTACTTTAATTCTTTACTAAGATATTCTTAGTTTTAGATATATCTAATAGATTATTTATATTACTCTTCTAAGTAATAGTAATCTTATTTAAAATAGAATAATTATAGATACGCGAATTATAATATTATAGATTCTTATAAAGTAGCTTATAGTCTTATATACTTAAATTAATCTTTAGCTTTTCGAATATTAATTTAAGAATACTAATATATAAATTAATACTTTTAAAAATTATAATTATTTTATAATAAAGTATTTAATTAATATAATTATAGTAATTATATCTAATAAAATTAATATAAAAAACGCGATTAAGAGAAAGTTATATCGTATTATAAATTAATTTTAAATACTATCTATAATATAGATTTAATTAAAAATTAATTTTTCGTCTTTTAAAGGCGTTAGAGTAGATATATAAGTAGTAATTACTTTTTAGATTTTATATATATATAAAATAATTAAATAATTAATAATAATTTACTATAAGATTATAGAGATTATATTATTATATTAAACGCTATAGCGGCGGAATTCTTTATAATTATTAATAAGATTTAAGATCTTTAATATTAAAAAGTAAAGGATTTAATTAATAATATACTCGCTAAAATTAATCGAATTATTTATATTTATTTTAACGCTCTTATAGTTATATTTTATATTATTTATTTTAAATATATTAACTTTAATCTTTTCGCTATCGTAGTATTTAACTATTTTATCTTTTTATAATAATATATTATAGCGGTTATAAATCTAATTTATAAGACTTAAATTATATTATATAGGCTTTATAATATATAAATAATACGCGATATAGCTAATAAATCTTATTAAAAATTAAATAAAAATTAAATAAAGGTTAAAAGATAGATTAAAAGAACGTAAACTATCGAAAGAGTTATTATTAAAGAAGTTTATTAATAAGTCTTATAATAGAGAGTTTTTTATAACGTCTTTCTCTTATTTAGAAGCTTCTTCTTAATAATATTTAGAATATAATATATATTAAGAGGCTTTAAAATAGAGTAATAAAAAATAAGTAGAGAAGAAAAATATATTTTAAAAGATAGTATTATTAGATTAAAAGATATTATCGCTAGCTTAGAAAAAGTATATAAAGGAAGATAATAGCTATAAATTCATTTAGACTCTTTTTAAGAAATTTTTAATACGTTTAAAAGTAATAATAAATAGTTATTAAACTCGCTTACGATCTTAATTATTAATAATAATAAATTTGTTAAGAGATAATCTAAGAGTGTTAATAAGAACTTTAAGAGATAAATAAAAGAGATATATATATTTAAAGCGTTTAATAATATTTTTATAAGAAATATTAAGAATAAATATATTTATATTAATAAATTAATAGAATAATAAAAGAAGAATTATTATATAAATAGATAAAAGAATTATTATTTAATTCTAGACGCGTCTAATATAACTACTATATTTAAATATTTATTAAATTTATTAATAATAAATCAAACTTTATAATTTTTATATCGTTAGAAAGCGTAAATTAAGTTTTATAATTTACGAAATTATAAAGTAATAGTATTTATAGAAAGCTAATTATTTTAGAGTATAAAACTTCTATATATAAATTTTTAATAAGAAAGCTTAAGAGAGCTAGTGGGCTAATTTAGTCGATTTAATTAAAGAGCGTAATAATCTTAAATTTATAATTAACTATATATATAAATTTAAGGTTTTATAGCTTAGCCCTACCTTATTCTATTATATAGACTAATATCTCAGTATTAGTTGTAGCTAGTATAGAATGAGATGGAGGTAAGATGAAAGGTCGGCCGCACTAGTCATATCTACCGGTTTCTGGGCTACCTTATCGTTTGTGGGCAAGCAAGAGACTGAGGGAGCCGAATCAATCATTCTATCAATCGACCAATTTAGCATATTGCAGAATCCTATTGCAGCAGCCCGCTTTTCTGCATGCATGCACGTAGCCTCTCTGGTGAAGTCCGGTAGAATTTAGGGTGTGGGAGCGGTAAAGGGCAGAGCATTGAGCAATAACTGGACGAATGTTAATTACAAAAGATCGAGAGATTTGGGTGAAGCCATTGGCTGTAACTTTGGTATCCTCTCGATTGCGTTTCTACAGCTGGGTCTGATTATCACCAGAAGCACGTCTCTACGGGAGAAGAGGCCATGCTTGTCGCAGCTGGCGACTAACTCTTTTAAATTCTACCAGGTCAATCTGGTGACGTGAAGCAACTTCTTTAAGCTTCTGGTCTTTGCTGGGATTCACTATTTCGCGCACTGAGTCGTAATGAGGAGCGTTGCAAATGAAAGCGGCTGTTCGGTAGAATTTCCAGCGTAAAGTGAACTTTGCCAGCATATACGCGTATACGAGGACATGGCGAGAGGTAATAAATGGGGGTAATTTCCGAACTGGAAACCCATCGTACTGAGCTCGGCTGCTGGAAAAGAAGACATCTGATGTCTCGCTGAGCTTTTGCCAGTGTGTCTTTGCGATCCGGCGTTCCCGTAGTTCCTCCCGAAGTCGATCTCGGTATCAGGATGGCGGTGATTGCCGCGATAGACCCAACATCCTATGCCACCGTTTCAGAAGCGCATCACCTGTTGGACGCATTATGTAAAAGGGGATGCTGAGGAATCATGCTTCTTTGCGTGTTTCGACGCAAGCTCAACAGAGGCAGGGGGGAAAGAAAGAAGGGCACAAAGGTGGCGAAAGTGTCGGGGAGAGAAGTAGGAGGAAGGTATAATTGAGAAGCCCCTATTGCATCATTTCTAGGACCTAGGTTAACAATGCCGATACTTGCTTTCTTGACAGGAGCATTCTCGGAGTAGGCTGGTCATCGTGGGAGAAGAAGCAGAAGTAAGATGACAGAAGCAGATCGATGGGAAAAGAAATGGGCATGCGTTTGACTCCCCAAAAAAAGGCTCCTATTTTGACCATCAGTCACATGACATTTCAATTATATAAATAGAATCTTTCAAGTTTTATGACAGCGATTGCCTGGATAAGGCTTAGAGTGTTTTACGGGGAGTGGCGGTAGCTTGCTTATAAATAGAGCATTTTTACCCAATGAGCCAATGGGATCGCATTAAGGAAGTTCTTTACGCGCGTATATTTTCTCCCATCCCGGACGACATGACCGGCGCCGTCGAGATCGCTCCGGAGCTTAGGCCCGTAGCAGGCACCATTCTGTTTGACGAGCACAGTTTTCGGCCTCAGATGGAACACATGATGCTTCTACGGTTCACCATATGATGCCATTTACAGGACCATTGCTAATTATAGCCGCATTAATCTATAGAGCCCAATCAGATCTATATGCAATTCTAACGGACGAAAAAGATATTGCATCACATCTACATAATGATGAGCCTTCGACTGAAAACAGCTGCACCCAGACACCGTCCCTAGATCATCTTGTTCGATTTTGGTGGACTCCACCGTATCTACAAAGTCTTCAACAAGAACTGCAAAGACATCGCGTTATCGGCTTCAACTAAGACGATCGGCAACATACGGCAGAGAGCCAGAATTGGCAGGTGCGCTAGGATTGGAGGGGGGTCGAGACAGAAAACGGTCGAAGGCAGGGATGCAGGCGCTAAGCCCCACCCGCAGTCCCTACAACACTACTAATGCACGGAATCAGATTAGGAACAAGGCTGCGCTAGAGTCTAGAGGTTCCGGAGCAGCCTCATTTCTGGATCACACTCTATTAAAGGTCGATACAGTATTGCTTTCCCCAGCACTACTTTCCACAATGCTGTCAGTTGATAAATCTAGTAAACGAGATATATTGATCATCGCTGACTCCACGTTAATCCGATGACACACGACCGTGGAACAGTGGGTCCAAACGTTGATGAAGGGAAGAGTGCTGCTGGCACCTGCAGCGTGGTTTGGGTTGCTGGGTAGATCTTTGCTGAATATAGCGCCTGCAGTGACATGTGCTTATCGGAAGCGCCTTAAGCTAGAAGATGAGGCGACACAACACATCTAGCATGCATCCGGCAGAGCTGCAGCATTATCCTACCCCACCATGTTATTTACCTGGATGCGACGTGTCGTTCTCTTTTTACCTATGACCTGCTTCTTCTCCGTGTCAGAGCCGAAAATTTAGAGTGTCGATCCTGTCAGTACAACTGTGCCAAGGGTCAATTGCCGTTTCCAAGCCTCTCTATTTCTAGGTTGCCGTCGCCCTAGAGTCAAGATCGCGCCGCTATCTGGGAAGACTTAGGTGATTTTCCTGGTCTAGTATAGCTTTACTGAAACGGTTAGTACAACGCTAACCTCATGTTGCCTCCCTGGGGCTGCTGGCTTGAAGTAAAGACAATCGAAAGCTCACTTCATGATTACCAGAACTCGTTATTGCCATCAACCTCCACTTGTGGTCCTCTGGCTCTAAAGCCCCGTTTTTGTCACAGTGACACCTTGTGCAGTCAGCGTGTCTACCGCAAGCTAGTCTCCAGCTCGAGCTGTTTGTTCACCATGCGCTCCCAAAACCTGCCCCACGGCAAATTCTACACAGTCCTCTCACAAACAGGGATAAGTCAGCAATATGCTACGACTGACGCGTGCCTGCCCAAGGCGGCGCGCGGTCACATGGTCATGGTACTTGGATGGGCAGATCGATGGAATTGGGTCAAGGTAGTCTCTGTCAGTATATTTTTAACGCTGGGCGTGCAGTGCAAATGAGTGATATCTATGATGAGCAGATCACATCCAGTGCCGCCTCTACATTACAGTACATCGACTACCTACCCATATATCCGTCGAAGAAAAATCAACATAGTGGAATTCAGCTGAAATTGTGCAACGGCTGGAACGCTTGGACTTATACCGAGAAGAAGTCTTATGTCAAGATGGATGGAGTGTACGAGATTCCAGTTGAACACTTGACGGCTGCTGGCGCAAATGGACGTCAGTACGAGCTGCAGAGCAAGTCATGGGACAAGGTGCAGGACTTCCTAAGGAAAATGAATGTTCGTGCAATCCACGACGGACAAGTTGCACCGGGTTCTGTCAACAGTCCCATTCGCGAGGGCCATTTGAGCCAGGTTCTTGGTGCTGGTGTTGCCTCCGATACGGGGGAGTACTCGCTGGAGGGGTACTCCTTACATATACCTCCAAAGATTGAGGTAGAGCCCAATCAGATCTACAAGCAAGCCTGACGGACGAAAAAGATATTGCATCAGATCTACTTAGTGACGAGCCTTCTACTGAAAACAGCTGCACTCAGACTCCATCCTAGATCGTCTTGTTTGATGTCGCGAAGCTATCAATCAGGGGCACGAGAGATGCGTCTGGCTATACTTTAAACGAAATGGGAAGGTCATGGCCCGTGATGTCCGAATCGACAGTTTGAAACCACCTTGGGGCATCCCAGAACTCCGGAGGCAGTCTGGTTGGTGGAAAAGACTTTCATTGTATTCAGCTGTTGGAGTGAAAGAAGTAAAGGCATGTTTGCTTCATCATCTGCTCCCTTTCATCATACCAGCTGACGGGATGCATCAAGATGCGTTTGGTGAGCCATGATAAACAGCATAAGGTCATGCATGCTGTCATTATCGATTTCGATTATTCTAGCGAGCTCGCATGGTACGACCGACCCAAAGAGCAATTGTTAGAAGAGATAAAAGATTCGACAGACTGTGGTGTTGATGTCATGGGGAGGATTCATAGCGTATCCAGAGTCTGCTCTAATAGTCACTGGGATGAGATCCAGGGCGAAACATACTGCACCGTTGAAAGAATGTATGACCTTGAGCAAGGGAAAAATAATCTCATTTGGTTGCGAGGGATGCTAGAGTATTACTGGCAAAATGGCGTTCAAGACGAGGGTATGATATTTCTTCACAAGGCAGGTTTCATTACTACCTATAGGTACGTTACATCTTCACTAGACACTTCGTGACTAGTTCCTGACTCTTTAGCAACCTGGAGTTTGATGCCTATAGCGACGCTATTGGCCCTTATGGAAGACCCATCAACGCTTTTCTTCTAGTCGAAGGGTGGCATGTGCGATACTTTATATGCCTCGTCGCAGCCGGTATTGGTTTCAGCCTTTGCACAATCGGTATGGTCACGGTCATTAATGGGAGCTTTGAGGCCGGGCTGACAGGCGGGAGTTACGCTCTTGGGCTTGCAGCGGTACTCTTGGCAGCGCTGACAATCCCGAGCGTTATTCTTTAAAATTGGTGTACGTTCAACGATGAAGGTCTTTAAATTCGACCGATCACAAACCCGTCGGCGACGACTTCAGAACTGACTGCTTTGCGCAGCCACCCTTCTTGTCCGATTATTCCTAACGATCCTGTCTTTCGTGTTCCTCTCTTCACCTCTCGCCTCTTCCTCTTCCATGCGCTCATGTTTTCACTTCCGACTTCACTCTTAACGCTCCACCTCCGTCACCTCGCCCACGCATATCGACCTTATGGCTCCCCGAAGGCATGGCAAAGCTATCGAACAGACGATGGGACATTCGGCTGCACACTACAAACAGATGGAGGAAGAATTTGATGTTTTGGATCTCACCCAACGGATCTACGCGGACAGCAGTGAGGGTCTGCTGGGCTGGGTCAAAGACCTATGGTATCAGTAAGGCAACCTTCCTGTCTTCAATCAGTGGACTAACCGGGGACTGATTGACGTCGCCAGATATTGCCAATTCACTGAAAAGGATCCTCTCATCACCCTCCAAAGGATTTCGATCAATGTGCTCTACGCCTTCTTCGACTGGCTCCTCTCCGTTCGTAAGGATCGCGTGGGTGCGGTCAGCACTCTGCAAATATACTGGAATGCGTTTTACCTGGTGCGAAAGAATGAGACGGGTTATCAAGCCATCGACCCCCTCATCAAGAGTCAGATGCACGGAGTACGATCGAAGCCTTTCACATGTCGTTCCGCTAGATCCGGACCAAAGAAAGCGACGACAGCGAGCTCTAAGGACTCGTTTATGGGTGTAGGCTATGTAACATCCACATATGTAACCATATAGCGTGTTGGAAGGAGCATATTGCTGCCATTCCAAGTATGTAGCATTTTGGTGGGGGATGCCAAACAAACGTACACCATAGGCGCCAGGGGATGAGATAGAAAGAAATAAAGCTCCAGAATACAAGCCAGGGAGAAACTCAATTTTGCTATCCGCTCGGCATTCCAATCATACTTGGTAAACCGTGTATATTCAAGCCTTACAAGACGTCTGGAAGCAACACGTCATTACAAATCAGACCTTTTCACTAATCGTCCCCCGCAGATCATCTTGCTGCCACGTCACGCTTTTCAACCTGCGCCATTCATAGCTGCGCTTAAGCGCTATGGCTCACAAGGCTGATCAAATTTTCGGCGCATGCCAGCGTCGCCTCCGCCGATGTTGCTTAAGTTAACTTCAAGCGGCCACACCGCAATGTTAATGCTTGACTTAGGTGAAGAACATTCGTGCCCATCCCTGCTATTATGGCCTCCACAACGCCTACTCCTATGCGAACTAAGGAAGCCGTTAAAGTAGACTTGTGGAAACAAGCTTTGGCCACTCTCAACGCCGAGGATCAAAAGCAATACGAGGACTGCTCCTCAAGTATGCTTGACGTGTTGAAGCAGGTATGCAACTACCGCTTAATCATGCGAATGTGCATTATTTTCGTCTGTGACCGAGTCTGTTAACATTTGGTTTATTATAAGGTTCAAGAAACCACGGAGAGCAAGAAGCAAGATTGTGTCTCGAAAGGTTGGGAAGTTTATCGAAACAAGCAGGGTGAAGAAGTCAAGCTCCGACATGTCCTTGAAAAGGTTTCTGTATGGGTGAAAGGAATCATCAACATTGTTGATGTGGGTGTTTTTTTCGATCAGAGTGGTCACGCAGCTTTACCGTGGGGAATCGTCAAATATCTCACGACGGTAAGAGATCATGCGGTTAGAGTCCCCAAGCCTACTAATACTAGAGAATACAGATTGGCATCTCAGATATTGATGTGTTCAGCAGTCTTGTTGAAGGCATTGAATCTAGTGCTAGCCTTGTGGCGCGATATGTCATCGTCGAAAAACTATATCTACACTATGAGTGTGAAGCAGCACCCGGACTGCAGGAAGCTATTGGAAACCTCTACGCAAACATTCTCACTTACCTGGCAAGAGTCAAGGCTTACTTCACAGGCAGTACTTGGAGTAAATGCTCGACTGCGTTTAACTAATGGCGTTAGAATCTGTATATTCCACTTTGCTGGTCATGGATCTACCCATCGATCGGATCCGTCGAGAAGCTGTCTACTTTTGAAAACAGAGCCGTTGACGGTAGCAAGTCTGCTTGAGACGAATCTCCGGAAGCAGACGCCATTCCTCGCCTATCTCTCGGCTTGTGGGACTGGTCAAATCCATGACGAACAATTCTTCCACGAGAGTATCCACCTTATTAGCGCAAATCAACTGGCAGGATTTCGGCACGTTATTGGCACTTTATGGGAGGTTGAAGATAATCTTTCTCAAGACATGGCGAGACTCACTTATGAAGGGATGGGATATAAAGGCATGACGGATGAATCGGTATGTTGGGGGCTCCATAAAGCTACTAGAGAGCTTCGCGACCGCTCCCTGAATGTGTCACAAAGAGCCAAAGATGCAAGCACATCGATTCAAAAGGCGCGAGTAGAGCATGAGGGAGATACCACAGGAGTACGGGATGGAAATAAAAGGGATGCCAGAATGCCCTGGAAAATTAGTCAAAGCACTTCAGATAACAACATGCACTGGGTTCCGTATGTTCAATTTGGTGTGTGATCAATTGCCATGTTCATATAGTCACAGTCAAACCGTCTGCTAGATGCTAGACCTTGAAAACTATTGATTGCTCGGTGCCTACTTGACTTTTGACCTGATGCGGAAATTCAGCGCAGCCCAATTCTCTGACAGAAGGCCACCGCCATCTCCTCGAGTCCTGCTATGTCCTTTTTGTTCAAGAGTTTTACCGATTTCTGTTAGCTCTAATGACATGAATGAAGTCGGCCGAATGGTAAGAAAGACTTTGATAGTATCTTCATAATGTAAATGTCCCTTTTCTTCTATCCTAGATGGAACCTGCATCACCAACTCCTTTCTCCATTCTCCGGTCGTACCTTGTTGAAAATCCATATGCCGGTTACTGTAGCGTGGTGGAAGAACTTCATAATTACCGCGAAGAATGTCCTCTATCTCCCAGTAAGGGCCCATGTTGAGAATATGGAGATAAAGAGGATCTCCTCCGATATGTCCTTGATTCTTTACGTATCGATCTTTGAGCTAACTTGAGCTATCAGGAAGCCTCATACCCGTTGCCTGTCAGTCTGCTGTCTAAGGACTTTAATTATACCAGTTATAAGATTTCGTATAACTTAAAGGTGGAGAAATCGTTAAATAAGAGGTCTAATTCGATTAAGACTTCGAAAGGTATATAAATGTTAAGGGATCTAATGTCGTATTGTATATATTTAGCGGTATAGGTAATACTATACGATAGCGACGTTAAGGAAGCTAAGATAATAATACCGATATCTACTCTCTTAATAAAAGTATTCTCGAAGTAAACTAGTCGTTAGAAATTCTTTTTAATCGACTAATTATGCTTAATAATATATTAAAGATTATATAGTATCTTGATATATCTATACTATAATTAAGTGAAGAAAGAAGTAGTAAAGAGTAGAAGTAAGATAGATAGAAGTAGAAAAATGAGAAAAGAAGTAAGTATATATTTGGCCTCGAAAAAAAAAGCTCCTATTTTAATCGTCGGTTATATAAAACTTTTAATATATAAATAGTAGAAGGATAAAGCTAGTATTAATAGATATAGTTCTTTAAAGCGTAGCGAAAGATAGTATCGCGAAAAGTAGAATTATAAATACTAATACTATAGAAGTTAATATTAGAGAAAGTAGTATCGTAAAAGCTTATATTGTAGAAGCTAGTACTAATAGAAGTAAGCGAAGAAGTAGATTCTAGAAAATAGTGCTTTTCTAGATTTAGTACCCTAGAAGCTAGATTCTTCTACGTTTTATAACTTAGAAGCTTAATTTTTATCGAAGTTAGGCTCTCTTAAGCGCAGTATTAGAATTCTACGTTATCTTAGATACGGTTTTCTAAGAGCCGCGTTATCTTAATAACAAATATACTTCTATTAGACTAGCTCTTAGAAGAGATATACTAGTTAGCCCCGGGAGCTCCCGTTTAGAAATATCCCTTACTTTAATACATATAAGTTTTAGGCGTATAAACTTTTTATTCGATCTTTTACGATTAAGTTATATCGAAAAGAACGTTAAAAAAGAATATACGCGTCTTTATTATATCTTATATAAGAAATTCTTAATACTAGACGATATTAGCGTAAATTAGAAATCTCTATCTTCGAATATACTATTATAAAGAACTACTACGTCGTTAAGCTTAATATTATAAATCTTAATAATAGTTAATTAACCTTTATAATTATACTTAATAAACTCGATCGTATTAATATAGTAATTAGTAATATAGAGGATAGTGAATATAAATAGAAGTTAAATTTTTCGGCTCGATTAATATTACGAGAACGACTAAGAAGATTATAAGGAATTAGAAGCTTAAAGAAGAGTAGATTCTATAGATCGCCTCTATCGAAGATTAAAGAGGGTTAAGCTCTCTTATAAATTCTCCGAAATATAAATTATACTAATATCTATACTCGCTTAGAGTATCTATATTTAAAATCTACTACGTCTTCACATAGACCGTCGAAGGCTTTATCGAAGCTCTCTTCTACGAAGTTAAAGTAGAATAAAATATTTACTTTATATACGTCGAGCCCGACGATTTTCGTATACTAAACCGAACGCTTCGTAAACTTCTCCACTCAACCTACGATTACATAAGCGCTAAAGAATAGATAGCGAAGCGGAATAGAAGTTAAGCTAGAGATTCGATTAAGGGCGTAAAGATAAAATATCAATTAGCGGTTACGAAGGAGCCGCTATTAAGCGTGATTGTGGAGATGAACGCATATAAGGCAACTCGAGCGAAGATTAAGACATATGGTGAAAAGTATAGGAGGTTTAGGGGGGCTAAGTAATAGTACTCATATTAAGGGATGTAAGGCTCCTTAAGATAACTGGGTTCACAATATCCAAGCTTCATTTTCTTCGTAAGTATTTTTCCTACGTTTAAGGAACTCTTAGTCTTACTTGTCTTTTTCTTCCGCAAGCATCACAGAATAATGCCGCAAGCATGGCGTAGGAGTCGAATGATTCTCTTCGAGTGTCTTCCTACACCTAGCACATGCTCGCACCCTTATTCCTCATCTTTAAGAGCCTTAAAGATATCTTATATATATTTACTAATATAGATAACATTTTAAGAAAACGATTTTATTAAATATTTCAGACTATTTACTATCTTATATACCCCTTTTTTATCGCTATATATCGACTTTAAGTCTATATAAGACGATTCTAGCTATTAATAATAACGATTAAAAATACTATTTCGTATTATAAGCTTTATTACTTTAATTAAGTATATATAAATATATCTCTTTTACTTTAATATACTTACGTTAATCGATATTAAGTAATTTTCAATTATTAAAAATATAAAGCGTTAAAGAATAATTATAATTCTATATCTTCTCGTATTTATTTAACGTTTATTAATATATCTCCTTCGTCTTAATATACTTATTCTAATTAGTATAAAGAATATCTAGATTATTAATAATATTTAATATATTAAATATAGATATATAATTAAAATCTAAGACTTTCTCATATTTCTTTAATACTTATTTATATATCTTCTTAATCTTAATTATCTTATTTTAATTAGTATAGAAAATAATTAAATTATTAATAATATCGAGTATAGATATATATTTAAAATTCTATACTTTCTTCTTTTCCTTTAATATTCGCTAATATATATTTTTAGTCTTAACTATCTTATTCTAATTAGTATAGAAAATAATTAAATTATTAATAATATCGAGTATAGATATATATTTAAAATTCTATACTTTCTTCTTTCCCTTTAATACTTATTTATATATCTTCTTAATTTTAATTATTTTATTCTAATTAATATAGAGAATATTTAAATTATAAAAAATATTATTAATATCTTAATTCTTAGTTATATTAAAAGCTTTAATAATAAAAAGTTATTATATATATTAATTTATATAAGAGAGTAAATACTACTATATTAATTAATACACTAACTTTATTTTTCTAAATATAATAAATTTAATAATTATTATAATTAATATTATTAGTTTAAACTTATCTCTATTAATAGACTCGGGATATTAATTATAAATAATTAGATAAATAAAATAACTCTTAATATTTTAATATAATTCGATTAGCGAATAGATAAATAGCTTCTTAATTATTCTTCTAAAGTTTATTTTATTATCTATAAGATCTTATAATTAGATTAAATCTTTAAAATCTTAATTATTATATTCTAATAACTTAAATTATAGATTTTAATTATCGAGATAAATCTAAAGCTAAAAAAGCTTTATTATTATAAAATCGATTTACTTTATATATTTATAAAAGATATTTTAAGTAATCTAAATACTCTTATTTAAATAATTATATAATTAAAATATATCTATCTAAAGCTCTAATTAAGAGATATTATATAATCGTAAATACTTCTAATAATTTATCTCTATCTTATATATATATTAATTAGCTTAAATAATAGCTAGTAAAAATCTTTCTAATTTTATTATAAAGTTACTTATCTTTAATTATTAATTAATTTATTAATATATTCGAATATAAGTATTAGAAGATAATATTTTCTAAAGTAGACTAAAATAATAATAAATTATTTATAAGAATTCGAAGATCTTATTTAAAATTAATTCTTAAAATCTTTATTATATTTTTAAGTTCTCTAAAATAAAAAAGATATATAGTAATAAGTATTAATTCGTAGTCGATAGCTAAAAGAAAGAATTCGATATTATATATATAGAGATCTTTTATTTTTATATAATAATCTTAATTAACGTTATTTAAGATAACTAACTATTAATAATTATCTTTAAAAATTAGCTATCGTCGAATAATATTTATCTTTTTCGCTATTTTTTAATTATATCTAATAATCTTAATAATTAATCTCTCTAGATTATTAATCTATATATATATAATAAACGCTATAAAACTCTATA